TATATATATATATATATATATCCCGTATACACATCTTTTCGAGATATGCGGAGATTTTATATGTACGTTTATATAATCTTGCTCTCAAGTATAATTATTTAATGTGTCTTTAATTTTACATCGTGTTTCAAATAAAGATTATATATTAGGATAAGTTTTGTTTGTAGCAGTAGTATTATCGCGGATATTATTACTGGTGAACAGTTATCTGTAATCTTTCTCTATCATTATATTTCTCTTTCAGGAAGCAGAGGTTACATAAAAGGTCCACCCTGTTTGAATAATGAAACTACTTGCGGGCGTAGAGGAAGTTAGCGACCACTGTGAAAAAGAGTCTAATAATGGTCAACTGCACAACAATAATAGTCATGAAAAGCAATCTGAATTGGTTCAAGAAGCAAGCAAGCCGCTTGTCAATAAGGTCAGTCGACATTCCATATGTAATACATTAATTGCGTTGCACAAAAGATTTTAATTAAATTCGGAATATATTAAAAATAATTAAGGAAAAAAACTCAAGAATAAATGTGAGAAACAATATAAAAAAAAATTAAAAGCAAATGTGCAGAATAAATGCTGTGCAATTACATGTCACGCGAATTTAGTATGCCAATGAATGACGACATAAAAATAGTATAGTTTGCGGAAAACTTGCCAGCAATCAATAACTTGATTCCGGAAATTGTCGACTCATGTAAGAGAACATTACAGTTGATATGCTCCATTTCTTGTCAGAGTCATTTGCTTCCGTTTTTATAAATTGAAGACATGCGGCTTTCTAGGTTGCACGATAAACTATAATTTTGCATTTCTCCTTTTCTTATATATACATATATTGCAAGGATAGGATCCTTTTTCTCATCGTCGCAAAAACTTGATATTTCAAATAAAATCTACTTTGCAAAAAAATACATTAATTATTTGCAGTTTACCAGAAATGCATTAATCGTGTGTTCGGTTATGAATCATGACAGATAAAGACAATTGACTGTTAATTATTCGATGAGTATCTATTACGTCAAAGATGTATATTTTGGAATTACGTTCTGGCAAGAACCAACATTATTCGATCATTATTTTGTTTTGCCCGCAATGATAATCGTTCTAATCACAGTGGATGTTGCCAATGCAACAATGAGAATCGATTTTGCTAGTTATAGACTTACGCAGCCGCGAGAAGAAAGCAGACGGCGTAAACTTGACACACTCGGATGAAAGGCAGGTCCCGTTGTGGCCTACTTACCGCATTTGTATCTTTGAAAGATGTAGTATGACTGAAACGTTCTTTATCTACATCCTCGTATGCGATTCTTCGCGAATCATTAGCAGGATATTTTAGAGACATTGAAATCGCTTTCTCGATACATCTTCAATTTTCTCGAATGATTTGAATGTATTTTGATAAGATATTACTCAGTATAGAACCGTATCCTGAACTAAACAAATAGATCACCAAATAAATAAATAAATAAATAAGTCAATTATTATTTGACTAGATTCGATATTATAAGATTCAAATTTTATATATTATAAATTTATTTCTCATATTTATAAACAAATTGATAAAATTCATATGTAACACAGAATTATATTAAGTAGCTTAGAGAGAATGAAGTATAAATGAATATTTCTCTGTAATTTGCGCGTTTAATTAATCTCTATTAATATATTGAAATTTTAGCTCTATTCTATTGTTATCTAATTATTACAAAAATATTTCTTGGGAAATGGAAAGAATTATATATAATTTGATAATTATAAATAATTATGTCAGATTAAAAAGGAAACTCATTGTACCGTAAAGTCATCACATTCCATTGTTGGCGAGACAGTTTACATTGTTGAGGAATGCCACGAACGAAAGCGATGAAAGCACTTCGTATTGTTCACTACGAGTGCAATGAAGCGTCACTCTTTTTTCTTATGTAAGATACATTTACATATTGATTATTGAAATCTAGATTCGATTACAAGCGTAAGAGAAAAAAAATAGAACATCGCTTCTATTCTGTTCAATAGATTATTGTTCAATGTAATGTGCAATTTTTTATACACAAATATTATTTTTTTAAATATAAAAATATATTATGAATATATTAGCTATTATAAATACCTATAAATTGTGTCAGAGATAAAGAAACTATAATTAAAAAAATATATATACATATATATAATATCTAGCTTATAATATTTTTTCATTTGATTCCATCAATATAGTTAATGGATATTATTTTTTCCTGATTTTATGAAAAATTTTTTTATATAGTTAATGTAATACACATTAATCATCTTTTTTGTAGTTGTAACAGTTAAAAAAAAAATGTAGCTTACATAAGTAGCCTATTATATAATTTTATAACCTGGCGATAAGCTGGACAAAAAGCGAGCAAACAGCGATATAATACAATAATTAACTCCTCTGATAATTTGTAAGTGACAAAGTATTCCATCTAATCGTTAATATATGTATATACATATATTGAACATTTATTCATTCAAGATTTTATCTTCTAATAGCAACTTTGAAGCTTGATTCGAAAACAATTTTTTAAGCTTATGATTAAAAACCATGATTATTCAACACTTAAAAAATCATATCTTTTTCACTTTGCTACGTAAGAACTACAATTAACAGAAGGTACGTGGCTTTTAATATATACTGTATAAAATATTGAACGCATACTATTTGGACAAAATAAAAATTTGGAAGACATCGTACAAAACAAACGTTTGAAACTTTAGTTATTTTTCTTTAGTTTTGTGTTCGGATGTATTGAATATGTTTCAATTTTCCGTTTTCAAACAGGTATGCGACGATTCGGCAACCAAGGAAGAAGTTATACCGGAGGAGGGAAAAGATATGAGACGATTGCTCCGGTTCGAAGAGGCGCCCGAGTTTCTTCAATATAATCCTTACATACGGCGTGGTTACCGAGGTTGCTTGACTACCAAACTATGCCTCGAAAGGTTGAGTTTAATGTTCCTTAACTCATAAATGAGTAATAAACGGGCCTCGAAGATAATGGATATATATATATCTCGACGCGGGCAACAGCATGCGCTTTTTCACGGAAACATTGCGTTTTGTAGCATATTTTGGTGGACAAACGAGACCGTGAACATATGGAGCCACATCTTTGGCTGGATGCTTTTCTTTGGTCTGACCCTATACGATCTCTGTCTGTTGAATATTCACGCGCCGTTCAGTGACAAATTGATCGTGTCCCTGTTACTTCTTTGTTTTCAGGTAAGAAAATCGATAAAATGCAAAAAAGAAAAATTGTTTTTGTTATAATGTAAGATATGGCGAAATAAATAAATAAAATTGTCTTTAGATATGTATGATCCTTTCGTCCGTATATCACACGTTTTCGTGTCGAAGCGAAAAGGATTATTGGTGCTTCCTATCTTTCGACTTGTTCGGTATTGCTCTGAGCATGTTGTCGATCTACTTGTCTGGTGTCTATTATGCTTTTTGGTGTCACAAGGTAAAGCGCGCACATCAATTTTTATCCAGTTAATATTTCAGCAATTTCACGCAAAACTTTAGGTATTTAAATTTATTGTACATACACATTATATACGATATATTATTTGTATTCGAAAAATTTACGAAAAAATATTTAAAATATTTTTATAATTCCGTAATGCGTTAACGCGATCGATAAATTAAGCTGGTTTCGAATCAATGAATTTTTTTTACAGGAGTTACAATGGTTCTACCTGATAACTGTGTTCGCAATCTTCATTTTCGCGATGATACTGCAGATACCGAGTCTGAATATCAACGGTAACATTAAGCTAGCCGTGTTTGTGTGCTGGGCGATATATGGAGTGCTGCCAACGCTGCATTGGACCATCGCAATGGGTGGCTTCGATAATCCGATCGTTAAGTTGCTCATTCCGAGAGTGATAGGAATGTACATTATTAACGCGATAGCATTTGCGTTCTACATGTTCAAGATACCCGAACGTTTTTGCCCGGGTAATTATTACCGACGAATTACCGTGTTCGTTATCATATAATAGCCTTTTGTACGGCATACTTTACTAAATAATAGGATAACTGTACATTGTCATATATTTCGAAATAAGTAATATGCTTTCATCGTAGGCTGGGTAGACTATATCGGTTCGTCGCATCAATGGTGGCATGCATTGGTGGTGCTAGCTCTGTATTACTGGCATAACAGCGGAATGCTTTATGTGGAATACAGAATGAATCATGGATGTCCAAGCAGTAGGCCATTATGACATACGGATTCCGACGGCCAGCCAGGTACGTGAAATAATAGTCATAATTCAATGCCGGTTGCGACTGGCGGCGACACAGTTACCGTAAATTGCGTTTAACCACATTTTCGCAATATTAAGTACAGTCCACAGTTCCAGTCATGCTTAAGAGAATATCCATATAATGTATTTTAAATATCTACTACTAACGAGAAAGAAATATTAACTCTATAATACGTAAAATACATAAATATTCATCATATACACATAATATGTATTTGAATGAATGCGTAAAAGGTCAAAATAGATTTTGTATAAAAAAGTTCATCAATTATAACATTTATATTCTCGTGAAAATTTACGACTACTAAAACTACACTGCAATAAGTTCAAGGTTTATGACTGCAAATACTCTGTTACAGCATCCGTTCTCGCCATGGATTGTGCTTGCATGATGAAGGCTTGGTCGTCTCTGATTGCCGAACCGCCGTTTTACGGTATCTTAAAGAATACATCTTGCGAGATACAAAATCCATTGCGAGTATATGCGTATCGATAGTTTCGATATATGTTTAGGAAATATAGATTTTTAAGTGCAAAGAGATATTTGCTGTGGATATTATTTGCAATGTTTTGTAGCTCTATTTATATTCATTCAACATTATTATTTATATTTGTTTTGCAAGAATATAAATGATATAACTAAAGGATAAATAATTTTATCCTAAACCGCGTTCTTTTTTTAGATCCTTAATCCTAGCAGGATTAAAGATAAGTCAGTATTAATTAATCAATCAGTGTCATTAAAAATATACTTTAAAATTATAATTCTAAATAAAAAATATATTTAATGGTATAAATATAAATCTTTTGTATTAGACTTTTTATATAAAGAAATTTTAATTAACTGAATTTATTAAGAGATTTATAAACAAGTCTTTAAAAATTATAACAACGAAGAGATGAAATTTTGTAGCCGGTTCCTGTTGGGGTTGAGTCTTAATTTTGATTTTTGAGATATATTTTTGTTAAAATTATATGTCCTTTATACATTTCAAGAAGACTAGAACGTTTCGAATTGTTCGATATGGATTAATAAGAATTTAGCGTTTTTGTGACACTTTTTTATAAATATTTTAAGAATAATATTAGAAAAATATTGGGATGTTATCTGTGGGTTTATCTGACGCGAAAAAAAGTCTTTCTCCTTCATTATATGAGAGTCTACTGATATTGAACGCGCGACGTATTTCGTAAGAAAATATCAACGAGTGATTATTAATATGTTCGGAGAGTGACATTGACGATTGCTTTTGCAATGCGGCCAAAATTGGGATGTTATGCAATTTCGCAAACCATCAAACTTCCAACGCATACGTACAATTCGTACATTTTCCAACTCGCATGCAAACGGGACAGGTGTATTAAATAAGCATAACGATATCAGACACAGTACGTATCTACCTGACTGATTTCAATAAGAATCTCGTGTTTTGGAGGTGGCCTTTTTATACAATATTATATAAGTTTCTGTAGGTGGTAACGGCTGTAATGTTGAAACAATGTTGTTCCCTGAATTGTTGAAAATAAAAGAAATTTTATTTTATTTATAAATAAGAACATATTTCTCTCTTCTGCCCGAAAGGTTCTTCATCTTTTGTAAAGAAATCTTTCTTTTTTAATATAATTCTTTTCTTTCTACTGTAATATAATTATCTATTAAGCATGTTGCAATGAACAAAAATATAATATTAACAGATATTTTATCAAACATTTCTCTTTTTCTAACGAATAAACAATTTTTTCGCATTTTCGACTTTTTGGATGAAATTCAGTTGTATTATCTACAAATATTAATCTATTAAGCAAACTTCTCTTGGTTAGCGTCTTATCATCAGTGTGCGATGACAAACTTTCCTGCTTTGCTGTGAGAAGGTGCCATCATTTATATATTCAAAATTAATTCAAAATATACAGGTATGGGATGATGTGTAGCTTCATGTAGAAATCGCTGATTGACAGTCGGCAGATCATCCTAGGTTCCAGGTTCGAATCCATTCGAACCTCATCCTCCATTCTCCATATATCTCTTAAGAGATTGGAAAAAGATGAAGACATTCTGAATAAATATGAGTGCAAAAATCAAATTAAAAGGATTCTGAATTAAGTATTAAAAAGATATATGTGTGAAAGATTAAACATATTCTGAATTACGTTACTTTAATAAGTGTACGTTTATATCTTTCCCGTTTTTTGTCGCAAAATTATAGTAATTATATTTGTGAAATATTTGCCGACATAATACAGAATATTTCAAATTCTCGTTCGACGTTCATTATTTTTTGAACTTCCAATCTGCTCACACGATGTGCTCGATTTCAATTCTGGCTGTTATATTTTAATATTTCTATTAATATACATATATTCTTGCAAAATATGTGTATCTTCATCTTAAATATTGCCTTATCTACGAGTATTAAGGGGATCCAAAAGTGACGGCCGAACTCCGACGGGTTAGCGCCCTCATCCAAGCGTAACTAAAATTATCGATAATACCGACCGAAATTATCGATAATATCAATAATTTTAGTTCCGCTGTTACCGACATGAATATTTTTGCATGTTCTATGCATATTTGAAAGAGAATTGTGTTCAATATGTTGAAATCGGACAACATCGTGTATTTCTACTGCTCCATTGCCTCGCACGCATATCTATGCGTATAGATAACAGTATAATATAGACTGTGAAATTATTTATAAAATTAATATTTACTAAATATAAAAATATCTTGCAATTGGAATATATACGAACTGATATGTTTATATAATGTATATTAATATGAATAGACAATACAAAATATTTATATCAAACGCATATATGTAAGCAAACCTTATATTTTTCAATATTTTTGATATTGCTAAATATATTGATCAATGTGTGAAAACATACAATATTTCTATTATATGCATTTTGGTTATTAAAGAATATAATAGTCAATAAAGTATAATATCTTTATATAAAATGTCGAAATCACAATTATTTTTAAGTTACAAGATCTTTTATCTCTAATTTATTAACTTATTTATTAACTTAATATTATTAAGAAAAATTTATATAATAACTTGCATGTAATAGTTAAAATCTATTATTAATAAATGTTTTGTTAATATCAATTAATTGTTATGATATATGTAATATTCACACGAAAAATAACCAAAAATTTAAGTTGACCACTACACATCAATATCATTTTGTGATATTAAAAAATAAAAATAAATAACAAACAGTCTATATATATTTAAGCA